TTGCATTTTATAAATATTCTGTTTCAAATGTATATATCTGACGCGTGTTTATAATTTAATGTAATTTTGCCCTTTGTCATTCGGAATTTAATTAATATTCGTAGCAATATTAAAATATTTTATTCTAGAAAGATCGTGTATGAATTAAATTGCTTGGAGTTTCGCGAACAGTGATATTATTGTATATTTTCCAGAGATAAATTAGAATTCTGTTAAATGTCGCATTGTGACATTAATTGTCATAATTGTGATTGATTATGGAAGTTTCATCTCGTTTGGAGAAAACAAAGGCACGAAGGTGCGAATCCGAGGATGCGATTCGAATACCGAAGATCCTCGAAACGAAGGTGGAACCGCTATTTTCTCTGCCATCGGACTTGATTAGTCCTAAAAGTAAGAGGAAACGAGAGGCTCTAATTAAAGGAAAGATACAAAAATTGCGTGGCATACCTCACACAATGAAACGTCTTCGCGAGGAGAAGTTTCGCAGGTACAAAAAGCAAACCCGAAATTTGTATGTCCAAATAACTTCGAATATTTACTTGGTACAATCAAAGTTAAAGCAGTAATTAAATTAAGTTTTCAAGTATTATATCAGATCTAAACATGTGGCACAGTCAACGTAAATATAATTAAATTTGAATTATTTAATTTATATAAATCTACATAATTATATTAACTTAATAAAATTATAAAATTATTAATTAATTAAAAATGAAATTTGAATTGAATTATAAAACAATGTTAAATGTATGAGTATATTAAGGGATGAAAAATCAATTACTCAACAGATGCTTAACCAATTACTTAATATAAAGTGAAACGATTTATATTGCTAATAATGCCAATTAAGAAAATAATGATACTTGATTAATTATTATATTATTCTCTTGGAAAAAGTTCAAAGAAATTCTTTAAATGAATCCCGATCCTTGCGATTAGATTTATGGTGGGTTTGATAGTGAAACCAGAGCTGGAAAAGGATGTGGATCTGAGTGACGATAAGGACATCAATAAATATTATTATTACATTTGCAATGGAGTCGATACAATTCACGCAGTGAGCATCGAGGACGTTTTCGTCGAGGCGATACTCGATCTGGTTCCTGGCAGTCTACGGGAGAAATTTTTCAATTTTACCGATGATCTGATCTTCGAGATTAAGGAGGACTTCACAAAGAACATGAAGAAGGCTATCGTCAAGTTCGCGCTCGCGGATCCTTTCGAGGAATATCCATCACAGGTTGGCCATTGGAAGAAAGATCGAATTATAAATGAGACTTCTATATCAATTTGAGAATAAAATCAGATCGGAGGTAACTGAAGATAAGCTTAATGTTTTATCGACAAGATTCTGAAGTATAAGAAAAATATCGAATAATATTTCAATGTGAAATATCAAGACTTACATTTATTAAAAATAGATTTAAATAGGACTGAGAGTTTTAAATTTCAAATATTCAGTGCAAGATTTTCTATCTCAACGTACAATGAATTGATTATTTCAGAAATTATGTAAGTTAATTTTTTTGTCCAAATTGAAATATCAGGGGATTCAGAATCAGGAAAGGTAGATACACGATTTTCTTCAAAGACCATATTAATTGAGTATTTCTTTCCTAAATATCAAGTTTACTACAATATAGTGATTTAAGTCTCCTTACATAGACATAAAAATATATTATATTCATTAATGAAATATTGTAATTTATATTGGATTTAATGTTATGAGTTTACTTTTTTTGTATTTTTTTTGTATATTTTTTAACAATAAATATCGTTTATTTTATTATAATGTCATTTATACAATCTGTTATTTTATAACGTTTTTAGAAGGCTATCATTATATTTACAGAATTTTCTAATTAAAAAAACACTCTCATATGTATAGAAATGTTCATTTTTTAAAAAAACGACATAAGTAAATATTTTAATATTTTTAATATTTCATTTTTAGTTTTTTTGGGAAATAGATTTTAAAAGTTTCATTTAATATGTGAGATAACAAGGCAATTTTTACATATTTTTACAATTTCCAACTATTTTTAGCATTACAGTTTTTAAAATTAGAACGTTTTTATCAATCCTCCAAAAAATAGATTTTTTTTACTTATGGAATTACTGAAATCCTATCCATATGTAGATAACTATTATAGTAACAAAAGTGTATTGTGAATATCGATTTATTTTATTTCATTGTCGATGCTTATTTTAAAAAATTGCGAAATGCAGACTAGAGATCGAAGTTCTTGCGATTTAATTGTGCTGATCGCATTGCAGTTCGACATGATTCGAAAGGAGCGGTATATTCTGCTGGACTTACGGAAGCAGGTAGAGCATTGCCGCGAAATTCTGTATACCGATCTGTATTTGATAAATCCATGCATGCGAATGACAATGGATCATTGGGCTCGCGATTACCGGTATCGGAATTATAAACACACTTAATTTGCGCTGTCGTGACTTGTTCTAGTGAATAACGTCAATTCTTTCAGTACATTCCGGCTGATCAATATGGAGCACATCGTCGTGCACAAGGAAAGCTGGGATCTGATGAATTTTCACACTCTAATTATTCGTCAGATCGTCGCCAATTGGAAAATTCTGAAGAATTTCTGGTATAGCGGGATTCAAAAGATATTTCTCGTGGTAAAGCATTGGAAAAGAAATAACATGTTAATTATCGTCACATTACATTAAAAGTAGAATCAGGCAAATCAACTTTATTTTGCTTGATTTTTATTCTCTCTGTCTCCTGTTAAGCTTTCATGGATTTTCTATTTATTTCTTTTATTTATCAATATTTATATTTATAGTATTTATTAAATAGTATTTATTAATATTAATTTTGTGCCCGACGGCTGAATTTTGGAATAAATTAAAAGCTATTTCTGGATTTCGAGTCTTCACTTTCTTTGTCTGTTTATTTGTTTATTATTTTCGCCCATCATTTATATGATAAATCTATTTAAAGATGTATTAGATCTACAGTCTTTGCAAAAAATGACTGGAATTGAAAAATTCATATTTTTGGAATAAAAATAAATGTTCGTAAAAAACAGTTCAAAATTAAATTTATATCTAATACAATTTTATAGTGTAAATGAAAATTTTCTTATTTAATCTCATTTTTTAAAAACGTGCTTTTTTTTACCTACTTAATATCGACTTTGATTTAATCTTTCCACGTAAATTTTTTATTTACCAACCGCCTTTCGCGTTTGATTCAAGTTTGCCTTTTTGTATTATTTATCGTTACATATAACTTTTTTGTAATTAAAAATTTTTTTTAAATAATACATGTAGTACATCCTTAGAAGCGTCCTTTGATTTTTTAAATTTGTAACAGAATAATAGAAAGAATATGGTGCCCAGCCCGCTGCGACGTAAGCAGTTCAAACGGTTCTTCGATTGTGCCAGCAAGGTGATGGAGGCGCAGCTTTTAAGGATATGCAAACACTCTCTGCTGGCTTTCATTAATTACATCGTAAGCGGCAAGGTGAATATACATATCTGCCTTTGCGATCGATCGACGCGAAATGATTTTCAGACGAGGAAACTCGCACGCGTTCGGCATTTCCTTCCTCCGCTTATCCGCTGTCGCGCGAACATTATTGAACGATACGAGACACAATTTCCATCAATTTCTGCTTATCAAGGCTTTTCAAGGCTTGTCCGCTCGTTCGCCTTGAGTTCCTATCGCGCGCGTAACCCAGATGTTATGACAATCAATTGGAGATTTAAAAATAAACAAAAGATGACAGCTGATGGCGAAATTTAGAAGTTGTCTATTTTGCATCTTCCGTAGGTTATTAGCGGATAGTATTTAAAACAATAACAATAATAACTTTTCTCTTTTTCAAATTTTAAGACTTCGTTTTTATTTAATTTTTGCAAATAGTATTATTGATACGTAACTTTTCCTAGAATTCTCACTTTTGTCTTTACTTTGATATATATATATATATTGTCATGCAAAACTTTTGATTAATAATAATAACATAAAAAAAAAGAATATATGAGTAAAATTTAAACAATTGATGTATATAATATGAACCGTTTAAAATCTGTACATTCTTACTT